ACTTTTTATAATTAATAATTTTACTTAAAAATATAATTAATAATTTTTAATTTTATTTAATGAATATATATATATATATATTATATATATATATATATTAAAAAATAAAATTATACTTTGATTATATGAAACTTAAATATAATTAAAACCCAAATTCAGGCTTTGGAGAAATTGTTTTTCAAAATTTCAAATTTGATTGTGTTTAAAGAAATTATATAAAAAATAATATAGTTTAAAAATCTAAATTTTATTTTATTTTAAAAATTAATTTATTGATTATATAATATTGTAAAATTCAATCAAATATAAAAATTGGTTTCATGGTTTAAGTGTTTGTACTTGCTCTTAAAATCTCAAGTTTGAATTCTTTCTCAAGCATGTTACTTTCATTTCTTCTTCTGCCATTAATTATAGAAGGTTATATATAAAAGGTTGTAAATCATTAACAAATGGAGTGCTTAGCCCAGTGATTCAAGCTCGTCTATGGATGCTTAAGACCTAGGTTTAAACTACCTTAGTTGCATTTCATCTCTTTACTATATTGTATACCTAATCAAGTGATGACACATGTCACAAATTGATTGGATACATAATAAATTAAATTAAATTAATAAAATATAATCCAATATGGTAGTGGCATATTTCTCCACCTAATTGGACATTAAATTTACAAAATGTGTATAAATATTAACGGCTAGTGGTTTGATTGAATGCATTTAAATAATTTAGTGGTCCGATTGATAAAATTGAAGGATCAATGATAAAAGTAAAAAGGCTAAATAATTAAGTGGTAGTTTACCTAATTAAAAAATCATAAATATTTTTTTACTTGTTTAAATAATTTACCTTTAGATTTTTAATTAATTTATAGTCATACATTCAGTTATTTAAAATTTTAAATTTTCATAAATTAAATTAATGGTGTTCAACGATTTTTAACAGTGCTAATCAAGGTGACAGACTCATCATATTTTTTATGGGTTAATAGAAACACAGGATTTCGTCTAAAAAAATTATATCAACACTTTAATGATAACATTTTTTTTAATAGTGAATGGTAGTAATTAGTAATTAATAGAGCTGTTAATTTAAATTTATTAATGATATTATAAAAACAATAGGAAGACCTAGACTTACCTTAAGGGTGCGTTTGGTTCACGGAATGTAAAATTACCAGTGGGAATGCAAGATTATCAGGGAATAGGATTACTGGGAATGTTGTATTTTGTGTTTGGTTGGCTTAGCAAGAATGTAAGATTACCGTGTTTGGTTAAAGGAATAAAAGATTATTGGAATATACATTTGACCATTATATATTTGTTTTTTTAACAAGTTGGAAAATATTTATATATTTTCTTTAAAAAAATTAAATTCATAAAATTTATATAATTTTTTTTCAAAATTGAAAATATAAAAAGGTTTAATGAAAAGGTAAAATTTTATTTTAACCCCTGAACTTCATATAAAATTTTAATTATAGATATTTTTTGTAAATCTAAAATAGTTTAAGGATAAATTTGTAATTTAACCTTCGTAGAATTTTTATTATTCAATGATATAAAAATGATATTTAAAAAAAATTTAAGGGCATTTTAGTCCAAAACGTCGGAAATCTAACAATACCTAAGGAAATGGAGGTAATGACATTCCCGGTAATATATTCTAAAAAATTCACTATTAATAATCTTATATTACCAGGAATGATATTCCCGGACTAACCAAACGGGCCAAACACCCCCTAAAAGAGGTGGCCGATAAAGGATGACAGTTCAGTAATTAACGTTCCAAATCATTTCAACGTAAAATAGGAGCTCGTTTTACACGCTTTCAAATACATATTCCTTTAAAATTAAAAATAATAATAACGTATTGTTAACTTTTTTTATATAACTATAAGTATCTGATCTATTGATCGATTAATTCAGATAATGTACTACAGAGTCAATGGGCGATCCTCCCAACTCAGTTACTTAATTTACAATCGTTAGGATTTGAATATCTGATTTTATTTAAAAGATTTAGTATTCTACCTCACTAAAATAACTGATCAACAAAAAATATTTTTAAATATAATATCCATTAGAGATTAACTTTTTGTCTAACATTTATTTATGCAACATAATAAGATTTTTTTTTACAGAACTTGTTTTTATCGAGTTAGCAAAAACATCATTTTCTTATGTGATTGTCCTACTGAATATTGCATTATGTAGAAAGCGTGAAACCCACTTATGTATAAAATTATTAATTTTATAATTTAAATATTAAATAAAATTAAAAATTAATTTGAAGTAAGTAATCTTATTGATTAATATATTTGTTATTATCCCTTAAGGTCTCGAGTTTGAATATTGCGTGTGCAGAAATATGAATGTTTATTGTCAAATGATTGAAAGTATTTAAACAATTATTACATTGTATTCGCATCAAATTTCTAAAAAATAAGAAAAAATATATAAAATTAATTTGTACGTTATATTCATGGATGAGCACGTGACTTGAATAGGAGGGATTCTGATCTAACTTGATCCTATTGGGTCAGGTTTTTTAAAAAGTCGGGGTTAAGTTTAGATTTAAGATGAAAAATACTCGTTTCGATCTGATCTAAAAAGTAATATTATTTTATTTTATATATTTAGAGATAATTGCAATATTATACATTTCTAGATTATTTTTTCAATCAAATCTATATTTTTATTGAATAAAATTAATATTTTTTATAAATATATTTATTTTGAATTATATTCAATTTTTATTTAAAAAAGACGAATCAAATTCGGATCAAATAAAATCACTCTAAATCAAAATCAAGTTAAATTTCAAGTGAAAGATATATACTTTTAATCATTTATATTTAGGGTAAATTACCCAATGATCACTCAAGTTTGGGATAATGTTTGTTTCACCACTGATGTTTAAAAAATTACAAAATAATCATTAACATTATCGTTTATTGTAAAATGGTCGCTAATCATATGCCGTTATATGCTGACATAGATAGTTTACCGCCACAGGTGGACCATTTTGACAAGCCCTTTTCCTTCATCAACCCAACCCTGAACCCATCTTCTTCTTCTTTCTTCTCTTCACTTTTCTTCTCCATAGCTTCCCAATCAAACAAATTTACAATTAACCCAAACATGTATTGACAGGGTCACTAGAGTGATATCAAAGTTTTATTAAAGAAGTTATCCTGGTCTGATAAACAATAAAAACACATGAAAATCAGACACCAATCTTTCTAGGCAAAACCTTGTGAAATGGTTCATCAACAACACGAAATCAGACACCTGTCTTTCTAAGCAAAACTATGTGAAATGGTTCAACAACAACATGAAAATCAGACATAAGAACCGGCTGAAATCAGCAAAAACAACGACCCATCTAGAAACAAGTACTCCTCAAACAAGACTTTTGAACCACGGTATAACAATTTATGGTGAGAAATATTACTGATTGTGTTTCCTCCAAATGTGGCAATGGTCGGTTTGGACGGTAGGTACGGTTTTGAAGTTTGGCCCACAACCAGAATCGCTGAAATTGCACTGGTATTCCAAACTCTCTAGCAACCTCCTCCTGCACATTGAAACATTTCACATCAAATTATTCTCAACCAAATTATCAAGCATAACGGAGAAGACAAGCTCAGATCTTTTAAGACCAGGTTGCATCTCGACCCACCTAAAGAACCTCAAAGCAATATCGGGTATTTCTCTCATCGAACTAATAATTTTGATAAACAAATGGGGACCGACAATGATGGAATGGAAGTGATTGGAAACCCAGTTGGTGTTGCAAAATGCCCAGGGCGTTTCATCAATGGTGTTGAAGATGAGTTGTTTGTAATGGGTTAACAACGGGTTTCGGATGAGGAGTCGGGTTCAAGGGGAGAGGTGGGGGCTGGGGAAGGGAAGCTGTGGAGAAGAGAGAAAGAGGAAGGGAAAAGGAAACGCACCTTGAAAGAGAGAGAGAGGGGCGATGGTGGCCAAAGATTTTGAAGCTCTTTTTATGCAAAGGGTCATCGAGGATACATAAGGTGATTGTTGTAACAACAACACTACCAATCCTTCTTTCAATCTGAGGAGATGTTAATGGCAATGGAAGTAAAGGAGACTGAAAGGGGAAATGGGTTTTGAGAAATTGCCATTGGCGGCGTAGCCTAGTTTCTCACCTCTCACTCTTAGTTGATAAACTACTTCAAATCATATTACTTTACATCCATTAGGCTCAGCTCATTTGCAGCAGTAAATAGATTAACAGTGGCATCTTACACTAAGATGTTGTTTGGGTTGATTGTAAATTTGTTTGATTGGGAAGCTATGGAGAAGAAAAGTGAAGAGAAAGAAAGAAGAAGGGTTGAGGAAGAAATGAGTTTGGGTTGAAAAATGAGGTTGGGTTGAGGAAGAAAAAGAGCCGGTTAAAATGGTCTACTTGCGATAACGTCAGTGATCCGTTTTATGATTTTTAAACAATAGTGATGAAAATGAACACTACGTCAAATATGAATGACCAGTGGCGTGGTTTACCCTTATATTTACCTATATTGTAGTATATTTCATAAATTTCTAAAAGAAAATACAAATAATGTGTTGATTAGGGAAAAAAGTACAAGAGTGAAACCCACTGTGATAAAAAGAAGAGTAAACTATATGTTTAGTATTTAAACTATTACTTTTATTTTATTTTAGTATTTAACTTTCAATATTTTTAAAATCATACTTAAAGTTTATTTTTTATTTCATTTTAGTACTCCACTGTTAAAAATTTAGGTACTAAAATGAAACAAAAAGATAATAATGGGATACTAAAATGAAACAAAAACTAAACGTTAGGTATAAGTTTGATAAAATTAAAAGTTTTGATACTAAAACGGAGAACAATTGATAAGTTAGGTACTAAACATGTAGTTTACCCAAAGAAAATAAACCCTTTTCCTTTTCGTTATTTCTTCTACGCCTTTTGCTCTTTCTCCAAGCTCTCCCTATCGACCTATACTATCAGCCTCTCTACAATCTCATCCACAGCTCACCTCAAGGAAAACCCACTAAAACAGAGATGGGTCTCTCCACCAGTTTCCATTTTTGGATGTTTTCCTTCCTATACTGAGTTACCCGAACTCGAAAAACCCTCTTCTTCAACTCTGAAGATGGCAATACAACGATACGAAGAACAACAGAATCACCCTTCGTTCCCGCTAGACACTCTCTACTGCGAAGAAGAGAAATGGGACGAGATCGAAATCGATGCAGTTGAAGATTTGGAACAAGGGACTTCTTCTATGGGCGTGAACCCTTCGTTTCTCCCACTTTTGGAGCAAGATTTGTTCTGGGAAGACGATAACCTTCTCGCACTCTTCTCTAAAGAAACAGAGCAGCATCAGCAGTCTTGTTTCGACGTGGGGATCGATGAGTATCAAGCAAGGGCTCGGTGTGAGGCCTTGGAGTGGATGATCAAAGTCAATGCTCGCTACGGTTTCACCACTCACACGGCCGTACTTTCCATCAACTATCTCGATAGGTTCTTAAGTAGCTTCGAGTTTCAAAGAGATAAGCCTTGGATGATCCAACTCGTGGCCGTCACTTGTCTCTCTCTAGCTGCAAAAGCTGAAGAAACACAAGTTCCTCTCCTCCTAGACCTGCAAGTGGAGGAAACAAAGTACGTTTTCGAGGCCAAAACTGTACAAAGAATGGAGCTTTTGGTACTCTCAACTCTAAAATGGAAGATGCACCCAATTACACCTCTTTCATTCCTCGATCTCATCGTAAGAAGACTGGGGTTGAAAACCCATCTCCATTGGGAGTTTCTCAGGAGATGTGAGCGTCTCCTCCTATCTGTAATCTCTGGTAACTTCACTTTCATTACCAAACAAGATAACCCTTTCGTGCTTTCTTTCTGTTTTCTCATTTTTTCCCTTACTTTTGGGTTTTTTTTAGATTCAAGATCTGTCCTTTATCTTCCCTCTGTAATTGCCACTGCAACAATGATGAACGTTATAGACCAAGTTGAGCTTTTCAATCCCATTGACTACCAAAACCAGCTTCTCAGTGTTCTTAAAATAAGCAAGGTTAGTTCAATTTGGTCTTTCTGCCATTATTTGTATATGATTACATATTTAAATGTTATTGATTTGGACTTAATGCTCCACAGGAAAAAGTAAACGAGTGTTACAAGCTCATCCAAGGCAATGCATGTAAGAGGAAGGTGGCTCCTAGCAGTGGAGTGGTTGATGGTGCATTTGGCAGTGATAGCTCGAACGACTCATCGGCTGGGCCGCCGTTAAAGAAGAGCAGAGCCCGAGAACAAGTAATGAATTTGCCATCACTCAACCGAGTCTTCGCAGACATCGTTGGCAGCCCTTCTTATTCTCCCTTGCTCCAATAACGATCTATGTTTATGCTTATGTCAAAGGAGTCAAATTTCAAGTTAAGAAAAGGAAAATGGGTGCACTAAAATTGAAGTATGTATGGAGTTTGGTTCTCTATATGTTTCCTTTTTCATCTCTTTCCAAAGCAAATACTGCTATATGGACATATATGTTGAATATTCATCATCATTATGTATATTAAATTTAGAAACAATTTTGTTTTATATGTGATGATTTTTTGCGTTTTTACCCATAAATCACCCTAAAAATTAAATATTATCGCACAGGTAGCGATTGCCCAAATATTACCGATTTAGTACTCTTTCTAACATGTTGATAAAAAAGCGTGTCTCAAGGAACACGCTTTGCAGACGTGGACGTAAGGTGCGAATTAGGAAGCGTGTCTTTTAGAGTTCTGTCCGAATTGGCACCACGGTAGAAAGATGTGGATCACTAGCCGCGTCTTCGTGGAGAAATCCGACACGCGAGGGAAAGCGTGGATCATGAAGCGTGCCTTCTATTATTATTCTTCAATTATTCCCCCTTCCATTATTACCTTAGCTATCAGCCGTAAATCCCGACCAATCACCTATCCCCCTCCCTTATAAATACCACCTGAATCTAAATATCAAACCACACCAAAATTACTATCATATTTTTCATTATATTAATTCCTTTTATCAAATTAAGTAGATTTTGTTATAATTTTTAGAAGGTAAAACTATTTTTAATTAGATTATATTTATTTCATATTTAATTATTTTACCAAATTTTATTTTACTAATTATTTTTATTACTTTTTGTGGTTGTAAAAAGGAAGGTGAGATCATATCGCGAGACATTTTGTCGATACAATAACAATATTAAATTGTGTAATTTAAATTATTGTGAATATTTTTATTTTTTTAGTATTAGTTTATATTGTAATTTGTATACTATTTCTTTAATTAAGAGAGTGATCATATATTATAAACAATTATTCATTTTTGCAGATATAAGACTCTCAAACTTTCAAACTCTCAAAATGAGACATATTTCAGTTATTGTTTACTCTGATGGAGAAATTTGGGAAGATGAAACTAGCGTTGTCTTCGCATCAAATAATTATATCACCTTATCCTTCAAGAGAAGCATCACTCTTCAGAAGTTGATAACTAAAATTTCAAGGAATATTTATGTTGGAAGCACTAGAAGACTGTCATCACTTCAATACATATTTCCAATTGCACTATTTCCATTAACATATATAACATTCGAACTCTCTAACGATGATGATGTTGCTATGATGGTTGATGCTCAGAATCAAAATTCAAACGTTGTTACACAAATGTATGCCATATTTTTTGAAGTGTTTGCGATTTGTGGTATGTCATTATGCTCCTACTATAGGCTAGCTCAACAAGTTGATCAAGTTGACATCCCAACTCAAGTAATGTATAATGATTTTAGCTCGTTAATGGGAAATACACATCGCGGTATAATCCCATCAAGTTGAATAGGGAGAAGTTCATCAGTAACTTGTTACGATCTCTACTGAGGTGGCTCAATGAACAATACATATGGCAACATCGCTTCCATTTCAAGGGGAAGAGATTTATCTGCCAATCTCTTTGACCTGAATATGGAGATGCCCTCGACACAACAATCTGTTCTGTACCCATTTGGTACGACGCCTTCAAGTTCCAGGGAGAGATGTTCAACTGCGAGCTTCTTCGAACTCAATGTGGAAATGTCTGCGATACAACACTCAGTTCAAAACCCATATGACACGATGCCTTCAAGTTCAAGGGGACGACATTCAACTACCAGCTTGTTCGACCTAAATATTGACATCACAGAGGAACCCTCATCTCCACCAGAAGAACTTCTTTGTGAGCCAGGTGTGGATGATTCTGAGAATAGACTATTTATTGAGCTATAATCACCGTAGTTCAATATGGTCTCTGATGATGATGATATATATGAAGTTCTCACAAATAAGGTGTTGAAAACATTTTGATGTTTCGATATAACAAATTAAGTTAAATGAATTTTAAGATTTTACAAAAGATTTTCTAATTATATTCGATATAATTATTCGAATATCAAAATCTTACTCCAAGTCTTTCAAAGTTCATTTTAATCCTTACTAAAGTGTAAAATTATGTTTTATACTTAACTATTTTAAAACAATTTTACAAAGTATTTCGAGTCATAATCGTGCCAAAAATATTTTCTTTTTAAAGGGTTTCAAGAAAAATCAGATTCCCCCCTATGGGGTACAGATTCCCCCCATGGGGTACAAATTCCCTATAGGGGGAACAGATTCCCCCCCAGGGGGTACCGATTCCCCCAGGGGGAACAGATTCCCCCCAGGGGGTACCGATTCCCCCTATCTAACGGTCAAAAATAGATTGCACTTAGGGAACCGATCCCCCATGAGGGGTACCAATTCCCCCCACGCTCCAAGCTATTTTATTAATTGTTTCTCATCCCCAAATAGCTCCAAAACATCCCCAACGACTATATACGACTTCAAACACATTCCAAGCTATAAATACAAGCTAAGGACACTTGAAGAAGGAAGAGAACAACTATCCAAGCAATCAAACACAAGAGAAGAGTTTTTCATTCTTATTTCATCTTTCTCTTGTATATATTTTGTTCTTGTGAGCTCAATCTTGTAAATACATACCTTAGAGAGGTTTTCTTGTTTACATTTCTTATCCTTTTGTAAAGGGGAAAGGTTCTAGCTAATCCCATGTAAAAGCTAGGGAAAGGTTCTAGTTTTTCCCGGGAAAACTAGGGAGTTTGTAAGGTTACTCTTTATCCTCAAAAGAAAGAACAAATTAGTGAATTTGTTGTAAAATCCTTGGTGAAGAGCTAAGGTAGTGGACGTAGACTTTGATTGAGAAAGTCGAACCACTATAAATCGCTGTGCAATTCTCTATCTTTCAATCTCCTTACTCCCTAAACACAAAACCGTTCCGACCCCTCTTTGTAAACCGTTCTGGTTGTCGATTCGAGCTTTCGAAAATACTAACAATTGGCATCAGAGCCTAACTCATTAAGAAGGTTTAACCACCTTGAGACGATCCTCGAAGAAGCTCTACTAATTCCAGACACAACCGAGAAGATGGCTTCCACCTCCGGCTCGTTCCACATGGAAGACTCCCTACCAACCAACAAACCTCCATACTTCAATGGAGTCAACTATCATCATTGGAAGAAATTAATGAAGGTATTCATCCAATCCAATGATCTTGATGTATGAGAGATAATCGAGAATGGATACTCTTCTCCAAATAAGAAGGAGAAGAAGAGGAGTGACAAAGAACGGAAGAAAGCTCAACTTAATGCCAAGGCCATGCACATGTTGTTTTGTGCATTTGGTCATGAAATCTATGAAGGGGTTTCTTCATGTTCAAATGCCAAAGAGCTTTGGAATAAGCTCGAGGAAATCCATGGAAACAATAAAGAAGAACCAACAAAGGTGGTGTCTCTAATGGCTCGAGAAGAGCCCGAGGTATCTTCTAACTCAAATGAATTTAATTCATATACGTTTGATGAGTTACAAGATGCTTTTAATAGGTTATATTCGGAGTTTGAGACCATGAACTCCAAATATAAGAAAATGATTTCAAAATTTAAAATCGAAAATGATTTTCTTTTGAAATCAAAAATAGATTTTGAAAGCCAAAATGAAATTTTGAAAAAGGATTTAGAGCTTTCAAAAATAAAAATTGAAAGTTTTGAAAAAGAAAATTTTGATTTAAAAGTTAAGCTTGAATGCTTAACAAAAGAAAAAGAAATCATTTTAAATAATTCATTTAGTTTAATAATGACAATATGCTCATATTGTCATTATCATGGTCATAAGGAACATACTTGTCCTTTGAAGAAAGGAAATCGTTTTAAAATTAGACAAGTATGGATTCCAAAAGGAACAAGGGGCATTGAACCTAACGTCCAAGGATCCAAAGCAATTTGGATAACAAAATCAAAATAAATGTCTCTTGTAGGTGTGTGGGAGCAATGGTGATGAAAGTGATGATATTCAAGATGCTCTAGCCACACATGAAAAAGGAATGGGTAACCTCTAAGCTTAATGTTTTTAGTTTTGGTTATTTGGTTGCTCATTTGATTTTAAGCATGCATGAGTTTTGGTTTTAAATGATTATGCATCATTGTTTTAATCTCATGTATGTTGAAAAGATGATCATGATGAACATTTTAAAGTTATATTAATTTTTAAGAATTTTTAGTTCATCATATAAAAAAATTGGTCAAATTTGGTTTTAATGCAAATGATATATCTCTAACAATTGATATCAACTTTTCAAATGTTTTGATTTTATAAAATTTAAAATTTTTGGCCTAAATTTAAATGTTTATGCATGTAGTTTAAATGAAAATGATATCTCTCTAACAATTGATATCAAAATTTTCAAATGCATAACATTTTTGGAAAACTTTATGCATATGCACTTAATTTCAATAATTGATATTGCATAAAGTATTTTAGACTTGGATGTATTGAATTTCATGTGCTACTAACATGTTTGTTATTCTTTGTTGAAATTCAATTTTGTTTAAGTGTCTTGTTCTTAAAGCTAAATTTTATTTGGAATGCATTTATTGAGGGGGAGCTTTGATTTTTTTTTTCAAATGATTTTTAAAATGTCAAATTTACTACTTACTCTCCAAAGTTATTTTGAACTTCAAAGATTAGAGTCTTTTTGATTTAACAAAAAGGGGGAGAAGTGTTAAGGTGTTAAAGGGGAGAAATGTTAAAGTAAGGGAGAGTAATTTCAAAATTTATTTCAAAATCTTAAAATTACTCAAATGTTTTGTTATATCAAAAAGGGGGAGATTGTTGAAAACATTTTGATGTTTCGATATAACAAATTAAGTTAAATGAATTTTAAGATTTTACAAAAGATTTTCTAAGTATATTCGATGTAATTATTCGAATATCAAAATATTACTCCAAGTCTTTCAAAGTTCATTTTAATCCTTACTAAAGTGTAAAATTGTGTTTTATACTTAACTATTTTAAAACAATTTTACAAAGTATTTCGAGCCATAA